GGGTTTCTAGGGTTTAGGATTTCTAGGGTTTAGGATTTCTAGGGTTTAGGCTTGATAGGGTTTAGGATTTATAGGGTTTAGGATTGGTAGGGTTTGGGATTTGTAGTAGAATGGCGCGTAACCGAAAATGTCTTGCGAGAGTGTAGTTTCGAGTGCATCGTGAGTGCAAAAGCTGAGAAAGGGGGGGCGAGACTAACAGCAACATGCGAGGGGCTGAGTATGTAGGGTATTTCCAAAATCTCCAACCCCTTTTCGGCAATTGCACGCTTGCAGCTCGACTGCTGTCACTACTGGTAACTCCAGATCCCAGATACCTCAATCCTGCAGGCAAGCCGAAAACAGTGAGACAGTGTCCTGGAACGGTAGGCTTATTTCTGGCGTTACAAATCTGGCCTACTAACAGGTACTAACATACGGTCGCCTGAACCTCTACATGTCTTGGGCGAGAGGCGCTTGCTGGCAGCACGCGCCGGTAGAACCAAAATCGTGAACTGAAACGGCGGCAGCCCGAGACGAAGGCAAATCCTCATCGTTTTGGCGGCTTTGACTTGAAGGACTTGATCCCAAGGAACAGCCAACTACTGTGCCGGTGTGAGCGTCTACAGAAGCAGAACAAGTGCGACTATCATGACGATGACAACGCCAACGATAATTCAGTCTTAATGCTCATCGTTCTTCAGCTTGCCAGTCGGCTGTCTGCACCAAGTTCATATCAGTTCAATCGTCGTCGCCATCATCGTTCTCGTCCTCCTCGTCACCGTTCGGCCTCCTCTTGACATCGCCTCCGTCGTTGTCGGAGTAGTAGTAGTAGTAGTAGTCGTCGTCGTCGTCGTCGTCGTCGTCGTCGTCATCGCCGTCGTCGTCGTGGTAGTAGCAGTAGCTACGACTCCCACTACATACTAAAGGGGCCTGAATAATTCGAATAGGGTTTGGGGACCCTGTATGTTATACTGAAAACAGCAGAGTGCGTGGCTTTTGAGCCCAAAGCTGTGCATCAGCCGATCAGCCGATCTGCCAATCAGCCCTAAACCCTGAACCCCATAAAGGCCCTAAAAAACCCGACCACCCGACCAGCCGGGTCAGCGGATCGGCTGATGCGCAGTTCGGAAACCGACTTTGCGAGCACAATGTATAATAATGACTCCCCCCCCCCAAAAAAAAAAGTATTGGTAGTTATTTAGGCCCATTTATTACACTGACGAACTGGCTTGCCGTCCGACAATGAGCAGCAACTCAAGCCAGCTTCTCACTCGTTATGGTTTCCACCCGTGTGCATGCAACATCCTGTTAGGGTTTAGGGTTTAGGGTTTCTATGCATCCAGACAGACTGAGGATGACTGCGGGATAGGCTTGCTATGTAGGGAAACATATGGTGAGTTAGGTAGGTCGGTCGGCCGAACTTCGGCGGTGGCTCCATGCCGGTCTGGTCACTCCTGGGTCGATCGCATGAATGCTCGAACCCGCTTGATCGCGTAAAGTGCCGACCTGTGCAGAGGACCCGGCCGCCTCTTTTCGTCATATCCGCCACGTCCGAGCAGGCATACTCTGGCGACTGCAGCTTTGACGCCTGTGCACTGCAAAATGCACCATGCAAGTGCCCTGGCTCCGTGAGTTGTAAAGTAATTTGAGAGCCTTGTCGTGAGTATGAGGATGAGCACCATCCATTCCATTTCTGCTGCTGCTGCTGCTGCTGGAAGCGCCCTCCCATGGCGCTCCAACTTACTGCCAGAGGTCTGGGGTGCCCCTATGCATTGTCTAGGTATTCAAGACACTTGCACATCCAAGTGGGTGCAAGCTTCTGGCGGTCCGCTGCGACACATGTGAGACAGAGGAAAGCGAAAGGTTCCGCGGGCCGCGATTGGCTCAGAAGATATGAACCAGATCCTGCGCCAGGCAGAAGGTCAATGTCCCTATATCAAACCATCACACTGTATAACTGTACTGGTGCGTTTAAGTGAGTTTCGAGGGGAAGGCTTGCTGTGGGAATGAAGCGGTGTAGCGATTCCTCGCACAGGGTAAGTCCCACGGTCCCACCGGGTCAGCATGCTGATGGGAAGAAGCTTGTTTTCCATGGTACATGGCTTTGGCATCTGGATGGAATCTCTGAAATCCGCAGGCAAGTAGGACTCTCAATTCATACCTTCTCAATACTGTGCAGACGAGTCGCATAGGATAGAGTCCAGAAGAGGATAAAGGACAGCAGACCTCCGCCAAACCTGAGCTTTGCATGGATCCCTCTGCACACTTTCACATGATCTCGCTCGGTGTCTACTCGAAGTTTGCGATGATCCGTTCCGGTCATCACTCGGTAGCTTGCGAATCATCGTATAATCCTTGCACCGTTCGTGCCTGCAGCCAGCCCTTGAAGCCTGGTTCCTACCTAATTACTGGGCTGCTATACTCTGGGACTATAAAGAAATACTGACAACGTATTTTATAGGTGACTGGGCTTCTGGGATCTCCTTTTTGACGCACCGATGCGCTTTGATGAGATCGAGCGAACACGCACGCACATGACAGTTGCGAGAAGCATTCGATTCTTGCAACTAATTCATGTGCCGACACTCCGGCAAAGACTGTACATTGCCGTTTACCCCTGGAAGACCGGGTTATAGTCACTGGGCCCCCTAATTAGCAAGCCCTTCTGTGACCGTAGAACAAAGGCCCATAATGTCGGACTCACATTCAAAAACAAATCTATGGATACAAAGCCCCATAAACCCCTAAACCCAAAGCCTTCTTGGGTATGGCAGCAGCATTTAATGCTGCGGCGAGGCGAGCATAGCCTGACTGGCCGGAGTTGCAACGGAGCCGAGGCAACTACATAAATCTAGGAGCCGGAATAGGGTTTAGGGCTTAGGTTTTAGGGTTTAGGGGTTAAGGACCTGTGTTCAGGGTTGAGGGTGCAGGAAGTAGGGCTTAGGTTGAGGACAGTACGATGCAATATGTACGTCCTTTCACTTCTAGACTTCAACAATATAAGATCGGGGATATGCAGGAAGGAACTGACTGAAACAGGAACTGTCAACAACAAATCCAGGCTCCCACAGCACGCTTGGCTTTGGCGAAGCTACCAAGGAGACCTTTTCTACACCTCCGTCTGATCCGTCTTGGGCCGGATGCTGGTAGCTGTCAATAAAGACGGAAACTTCTGGCGATCTCGGCTTGCCATTGGCAAAGCCGAGGCCGCCACGGGCTCATAAGAGTTGAACCCACTGCTGGCGGCCTCGCCCCCGCTTCCAACGGACTCTGCTGGTCCGTTTGCACCTTGGCTTTTACACACCCGGAACCCAGACAATCATGACCGCAACAGAAGACAACGAACATCAACGTGCATGGTGCGGCTACTGTAATCTTGCAGGGATTGGCCTCATGGACAGCTAACTCCACTCCAAAATGCACCCCAGGCCGAAATCAATGGCCGGAGGCCTTAACAATCTCAATCGGGTCTTGAGGCGTTTAGCACTATGATTACATCAAGGAACAGAAATGCTGGCGTCTATCCCAGGCTCCGAACCTAAACCCTAAACCGAAGAGATTCTGACCAGGTGCTGGAATCCAGACTGGTGCTGTGATTCTTGTGCAGCGGCGCACGGGGGCTCTCCGCAAGCTCATCTCCGCTAAGCAACCTAGGCTCCCCAATAACCGGCTTGAAGGTTTAGGGTTTATAGGGTTTAGGGTTTAGGGTTTACGGTTTAGGGTTTAGGGTTTAAGGTTTAGGTTTTAAAGGGTTTGGGCTTCGGGGTTTAGGCTAACCTAGGAATAACATGGGCTCCCTTTTGGGAACTTGGTACTTTGATAAGGGACCTAAGACCACCAAAAGCGAAAACACACTGAAAGACCCAGCAGCGACATGCTGGTGGCAGGTGCCCGCGAACCTCGGGCAAGGATTTAGTCTTTAAGGTTTAGGGTTTATAGGGCTTCAGGGTTCTGGGGTTCTGGGTATGTGTCGTAGCGAGTTGCAGTGGTTCATGCTTTAAGGGGCGATGGTGATTATGCTGATGACACGGACGATCGCGACAAGACGATCTGACTTCTCAGGCAGCTAAGACGACACACCATAGCCTCTTGCTGTTCATTTCTGCAGAACACCTGACACACATTTTGCAGTCAAGAGACAGGGCACAGTTAAGGATGTGCGTCTGGGCCGGCCTCGCGCTGACTGTGGTACGGCCTGCATGCGGCAAAACCGGCTCGGCGGCTAACGAACTACCCAGAACAAGCCTGCAAATGATGATGAAAGCGTCGGTCGTAGCTACAACCGCGGCTGTCACCAAGCGCATTCTTGCTGTCACTTATCCCATCCAAGCACCAATCTTACACACACTCGAGTCTCTGCATCGAAACTGAGGCTGTCGGAGACGCCCTGACAAGCAACCCGAACAGCCAGATGGGTCTCATCTAGATCCGCTGCTACCGTTAAGTTGCCAAGATGGAACTCCCCATGCCCTTGAGTCAGTTATACATCTAAAAGCACAATCATCAGCCCTGTAATATTTACGGCCTTGAACTCCTTATCTAACACTACAAACATCTGTACGAACCTGAGTATAACAAATCGGTTGCCATCCCAAACTCCCGAAGCCTTTCAGTGCTGTATCAATCATGCACACATGCAGAGTCATTCCTAAAGCCCGGACCCTGATCCTTAAACCTGCAAGTTTGCTGCCCGGCCGGGCGCGTTGGTGCTTGAACATTGGATGGCCTGGGGCACAGCCCATATAGGGTGGCCTAAGTATCTATACAGAGTAGAAGTAGTGTTTCTGTAGTAGGAATTTCCATTATGGCTTGGGTACGAAATCCTCAAATAGGCACTTCAGACCCGGCGCGGCACAAGGGTGTCTATGTTGGGGCCTAGCGGGTGGCCGGGTCCGTCTCAGGTTTCAGGTTCACACAGTGCAAGTGCTAGGGCCTCTACACTACGAAGACTCTAGATACACGAGCCGGTGTAATTTTTGGGGGCTTAGGGTATTTTGAAGGGTTTAGGTTTAGGGCATTTGTATAATGTAGACCGCGCGAGGGCAATTCAGACATGTCATTCTGCATGTCTGTGACGAAGTGTTCAGTATTTCATGATACCACCTGCCAGTCTTTAGGGGCTTGCGCAAGCCATTGCTGGGTCTGTCCCGCAAAGGGCTGCGGCCTTGGGGGGCAAGGGCAAGGGTTTCGTGTTGGGCTGGAAGGGTTAGGGTTAGGGTTGATTCGAGGTTGACGACTTTGATGTTGCCGGCTAGTGGCTGGGTGGGGGGGCATGGGCGGTGGTGCATAATCGTCCTTCAGCAAACTCGATGTCCGAACATAGAGCTACGTTCACGCGAAATCTTGAACTCCTACAAGCTTGGAGATCCCTGTGCAAGAAACCATAATCCGAAAAAACAAAAAGCACTCAAGAGCCTTAGAGGGGTGGCTTTTTCCTGTCAACGGGTACGAGACAAAGGCTGGGTCAAGCACTATCGACTAGACGCGTGCTTTGTGGTCTAGGAGCGGAAAAACCCTAGACCTGTATACGAATCGTAAGCCCCAGACGATGTTCCCTCAACATGCGAAGCCCTCAAGCTTGATTCGTGGCAACCAAGCCGCAGGATGCATGGGCTCGTACCTCATTGAATCCCCGGCAACGCGGATGACTCTTACACTGTTGACAAAAGATCGAAAACTTACATGAGGGTTCACAGGATTGATGGCTTGGGGGGCTGTAAGAGTTTAGGCATAAGAGGTCTTCGATGTAAGAGCAACTTGAATCCTTTTTCAAGTCCTGCAGCCAAGAGCCCCACACACACACGGAACAGAACATCCCGACGCTCGAAAACAAGTCCCTCCAGTCCTTTCTGAGCCCCCGCCATAGCAGTACCAAGGCCACCTTAACCCGAAGCTCTACGTCCTAAGCCCCTATACCTTCAACCTGCAAGGCCCTAGGCCCTAAACTTTCCTAAACCCAAAAAACGAAACCCCAAACCCAAAGAGACGCGATGCCCTCAAGCCTTAAGCCTCAAACCCTAAAGCACCCACCCATGCTCAAAAACAACAAACCAAAGTCGGAAAGCCAAAGCTGAGGGTCGTGTAATTTCTATTCGGGGTACGGGTTTTAGAGGCTGAGTTTAGGATTTACGGTTTAAGCTTGGGTTGTTGGGGTTTAGGGTTAGCGATATTGTGTGTAGATATATGCACACACACACACCTTACACCCACACCCACACCCACACCTACACCTAAATATACAGAAACATGCGCATACACATACAACATATGAATATACGTATGCACAATCATATGCATAGACAACATATACATAAATGCCTACATATACATAAGCGCACACACATATACATATACACAACCTACTGCATATACATATACTATTACATGAACATATACATGTGCATATACATACACG